CAATTGGTGAGATTTTCTAATAAGCAATCTGACCTTTCTTAAGTTGAAAATGAAATTACCTAAACAGAGAGATTCCCCTCAACCCAATTCTTTACTGATAAAAGCTCTATTCTAGTCTGCTAATGCCTTCAGTTAACAAGATTGTGGCACAGAGAAACCAAAACACTCAACTGAAAGCATAAAATCAAAATTGGCTTTAGTTTAAAAGTATTTATATATTTTTATTTATTTAATTAGTATCTCATTTCACACAGTGGTAACTTCACTAGATAGTTGTTTCTCATTATACTTAGTAAAAGTATAAGTTTCTATCACTACTGTAAATGGACAACTAATGTGAACTCATTACCCTAGATCAGCATAGGAATTTGATTTAGTAGTCTATACATATAGAAAAGGGTAGACAACAAGAAAGTGGATTAAAGAAAATAGATGATTCTACTAAAGTAACTTGTAAATATTGTCAAGAATGAAGTAGTAAGAGAGAAAAATTGTGCCCAGCTCAAATAATATAGAAAACCAGTTTCTTATGAAATCTGCTCTACTGAAATACAAGAGCAGGACACTGATAGTTTTGAAAATATCACAAATGAAATATATTTGCTGCCACTAATTTCACTGAAATGTATTCATGTTTATAATTTAAATTCTTGGCCATGATTTTCTTGCAGGTCTTCAATATCTGCTTTATTTGACTTGGATATACAAAAAGGAAAAAAAACCTTAAATATTGGTTATACTATTAAAAAAGTAAGAGGTAAAGACTTGAACTTGAAAAGATACAGTTTTCTTTCATGGTCATATCATCACCTTTGTTGTATCACAAAACAAGGAATTGAGTGGAATGACTTAAACATTTAGCCCGAATATATTCTTTCAGATTTACTTTAATTTGCATGGCTACTATTGGATCCTGCAAGTAAAGAAACAACTGCAAAACTTAAAAGCAACATCAACATCAATGCAAGATAATGGTCAAACAAAAAAATTACTCAGTAATGACTGTATGCAGTCTTTTAGGGAAAATATAGTGGTTCTAATGTTGTTGTTCCATTGTCTGAAAGGAATATTATGTTTAAGCTGGTAAATATGCCATTCAAAAACACAGAGAAAAGTATGATAATGAGGTCTTTGAATTTATTTGGCTAAGAAGAATGATACGGAAGTCTGCAAAAACTGCTCAGATATTATTCTAAACAGCAGACTTTGGGTATTAAGCGCATTACTTAAAATACACTGAAAAAATAGAAATATTTAATGTAGTTCTAAAGCACATTGCACAATTGAAAAAAATCTACAACTATCATCCATTTCATGGTGGTTAAGTGAAAATAGAGGATTGTTATCATGGCTTCCCATCAGTAAAACTCTTAAATTGTCTCTACTTCTATATCCAGCTACTATAAATATTGATATTTGCATGGAACTCAAGAAAGACGATGCAGCATGCAGTCTACACAATAAGAAATGCTCTCTATAGATATATATGTAAAAAATTACAAAATCAATTGAAAGAGGATTTGGAGGGACTTAGTTGATTACAGATTCATGACACCATGTCAACAGTCTCCATGGAAATCTGGCCTGAACACCAACAAAAAATAGGAACAACTCGGGGACAAAACTGAAGAATGGTTTAGGACTGCAAGGGAACTTTTGAAGACCAATTCCAAAGAGCCAGGTTGAGTTTACTATTTTATATTTAGTACCAGCTTCAAGGCAATTTTTCTGAAAGTTGAGAGAAATTGCTAAAAATGTAGAAAAATAATATTTTTACAAAAAAAAGGTTGATTTTTAAATGTGCCTGTCTATATTTTATAGGTTCATATATGATCCAAACAATTACATGCTTACATAATAAGCTTCAGGAGACATTAACTGTTCCTTACCTTACTACCCAACCAGGACTGAATAACCATGCCATTTAATTCACACTTGCCCTTTGTAACCTGCCACCTGTTAGTTTACATTCATTCAACAAATTTCTATTGCTAAATTTGATTTAAACTGATGGTCCTATAATTTTTCCTAAAACGGTAGATTCAGTAATAAAAGCACAGAGAGTTACTGGGCATGTCTACATGAGATGCTATATTGCCATAGTGACGAGCTATGGTGATGTACCTAGTTGTAGTGCCACTACTGCGTGGTAGCAACAAACTCATTGCTACTGCGCAGTATGGTTGGAAATGATCTGTGCGGCACTGGGACTGCACGGCACCAGAGGTTACTGCGCAGTCATTTAGTACTTGCTAAAGTAATAACTGTGCAGTGGGGAACATGTGTACGTGTGCTCACTGAGACTGTGGCACATTTTAAAGAAAAATGCAATAATTTTGAACTGCATAAATATATCTACTGTCTTAATTCCAAATACTTTTTTACTACCAAACTACAATTCCAGTCTCATGTTACAATTATAAATCAAGCAAATTGTGAGATTTTTTTGCTGAGAATAATATGATAAAATCCCTATGTGTTTATGATTCTTTATATTCTAAAAAGAGTTTCTAAAACAGGGCTATAAAAAAATAAAAATGTTAAATATCTGACTCTAATAAATCAACTGCATCCAAAATTAGACTTCCTCTTTGACTCTATTACCTTACATTAACTCTAGTGCAATATGCATTCATGAAGCTCTTTTAAAAATTCAGGTTTCAAGAGGAAAATACTGAAATAGAAACATGATGCCTAGAAACATACATAATCCCTGAGGATGATACACATTCAAATTCTATTTCTTGTGAATTTAGCAGCTGTATGAAGAACAAGAGTTTTCTAGCAAGTATTAAAACAAGCCACAAGCTTTGTGAGGGGTATAAAACTTCAAGCTTCCAGGCATAATTTAATCTCTAATTTAAGGCAATTAAGAAGAATTTCCCAGAGGGTAAGTCATTCCCTAGATGCTTGCTGATGGGTTTTCTTGAACCTTCTCCTGAAGCAACTTGGACTGGCCAATATTGGAGACATACCGTCAGAAAAGCTGGGCAACTAGCCTGATTCCAGCATGGCAACTTGTGTGTTCTCAAAAGTGCTCACTCCTCAATCTTGTCTTGAAAATGCACTTGATTTTATGGTAAGAAGTGACCAACATGATATAAATTGACTGGACAAAGTTGTGGTCTGTTTTGGGGGGATTCATTCTAAACAACTTCCCATGGAAAAACCTGTTTCATCACCTACTTCACATTTTTCTGCAGTTTCCTTGTATAATCTTGTATCTCATGAAGACAGTCCCATAGTGAGGTTTCAATTCTGTTTCAGAACTGACATAATATGCGCCTTTGCTTTGCGGTATTTTGCTTTAGCTACTTAGACTTCATTTGAAGCCTTTTGTTAGTATCAGTGCCTATTGTTTATGCTTCTTATTGGCCACAAGTGCTTTTCTTAGGATATTCTTAGTTCTTGGGGCTTGTGGCTCCTGAAAAAAGTATGTCCATTGTTTCTCTCTCTTTTTTTGTAGTCCACTTCTGTCCTGTGTATTGTCTTTTAGTATCTTTTAAGGCTTTATTTAAATTAAATCATTAGATAAACGATAATTTTTTTAGGAAATAAAATGAAAGAAAATACTTAAACCAGGGCTGCCCAACTTCAAAGTGGCTGGGGGTGACATCAACAGGGGCTGCACTGGTATGAGCCACAGTCCCTCACACTGCACACCCCATGGATGCTCCCCTCTCATCACGCAACTGTGAACCCCGTGCACTGTGTGCCTTGCACCCCTTTGTTATATTGTGCATTGGCAGTCCCCCAACACCACTACACTGCATGTCAGCCTACTGTACTATGTGCCTGTGACCCCTGACCTTCAAGCTCTGTCCCTCCAACCTCCCAATGAACTGTATGACCCAGGCTCACCCTTGGCTTCCCACACTCCTTACTTAAACAAAGGAGAAAGTTCAATGAATATCTTTTAAAGAAAAGGAGTTGTACAGTGAAACTCATTGTATGTTGCCCATCAGAATCATTTCCTTTCTATTATAGTCAAGGTGTGTAGTTCATAAAACTGTCAGAAATTCTAAATTCAGGCAGTTCTACGGGTGGCTGCAGGTCAATCCGATTTGCTGATAGAAAAGAAATGAGATGGCAAGAAAACTGAACTACCAGATATGTGCAATCTTCTTAGCAAGCAGAATAATCTCAAAGAATCATGATCAATTAGATTACAAAGAACGTTATTGTTTGCCATTTGCTACAAATCTATTAACATGTTAGTATCAAGAGCTTTAACATGAACATCTCTAATTGAACACAGATGGAGATCTCTTCTGCAGAAAGCGATCATAATCATTACTAGCCTTGCAACTAGTCCATTCACTTAGCTTCCAATTCACTGTATTTAAAGCATGATACGAAAAGCACATTAATGGGGTTCACCTGAATCAATTAAATCGGTATAGAATGACCTACAAAAACTGAATAATAATCCCACAAGGTTGGCATTAAAACTTTCTTTCTAGTCAATTTAGCGTTGTTTCCAAATAACAGGCAGCACGTATCCAAGTTAGAACAAAACAAGTTGGCTTGAAAGTGTTTCAAATCCATCAATATTTTATTGAGGCAGAGAGCTGCCCCAGCCCAGGCTAGAAATGTGCACTGACCATTTTGGTGAAGAAACACTACTTGTTTAATCCTGTTAATCTAGGTTTATCTAGACTCTTTGGCGATGGATAAAAATTTTTCAAAAGATTAACATTCTTATACTCATGATAAGTATCATAATATAAAACAGCAGATACGTACTTTTAGATACACAATATGCTTCGCTATGGGCAGAGAGGAGCAGCAATTTTATATATGACCTTTGGTAACCTGTTGCTGGACCTGCACTATGATTTGTATAATGATTTATGTAGGAATGCACTACACTATTTTTCAATCATCTGTAATTCTGAAATACATAATCTTGCATGCGAGCCAACCTTCACCAGAGGAAGGGAAATATTAATCAGAAAGATAAATATATGAGCTTAGAGCTGGCAAAGCACTGTACTTACTTTTGGTGTTGGGCAGGATGCAGTGGAGAGACGAGATGTGGCCTGGGCACGAGGAGATTCTGAAGGGGTAGTGCTGAGGGAGGCTGTGTCTCGCGGAAGCACCTGAACACCACGAGAAATGATGGAATCTGGAATCTGAATAGGAGCAGAGATGCAGTTAACAGTCCAATTAAAAATTATTTAAAAACCTTACACCTCATTCTAAAACTTTTCAGATCTAAAACTGCCCCATTCCTCGGTTCGCAATCTACATCACAATTCTTTGTTCTGGTAGCAGTAGTGTTGTCTTCTTTTATTTTCAATAATAATCCACTGACAAGAATAAGGTCATATGCCAGTTGCGCACGCACAGAATATTCCACAATGAATCTTGAAAAATCTATGACTGCACTCAGACATGCTATAATATGCAATAACTAAAAGGTCATAGGTGTGACATGTGGAAATGTCAAGGAACTGACAATAAAATATGGAGTTTTCTGTCTTTGGATCTGAAGTAAAAAAAACAACTAACAGGTTAGTAGTAGCCAGACTACTCACATGTGATGGTTCTTTCATTGCCTGTCTAGAAGGAGTTAGGCTAACCATTGATTTCCTGTTAGTAACATGATCAGAATTATCAACTGCTGTATTAGTAGTAATTGATCTCCCTGATTATCTAAGAGGAGAGGCCAAAGACTGAATGAGTATATATTTTTTGTTTTATGTGGTCAAGGTTTTATTTTTTCTAAAAAAAACCCTTTAAACTATATTTGATGTTGGTGAAAGAAGTTGACACCTCTCAAACCTGAAATCTTGTATTTATCCAGGAAGCAGATAGAGTATGATCAGTAGCATATGAACTATCTGTATCAACCCTGAATTCTAGTTTGGAGGGGAAAGAGAAAATACTTTTCTTTCTGTATATCAGATTAGATCTTGGTCTTTCATTTTTATACTTCAGTTTAAGAACTAGGTTCTCAGGTGATGTAAATCAGCATAACTACAGTGAGATAAAAAGAGTTGTACCAATTTACATTTCCTGGTGAGCTGGCCTTAGTATTAAATTACATGCTTAAGGCAGTGCAAGTAAATTCCATTTCAATTTTTCTTCTCTTTTGTTCAACTTTATCTCCAATACCAAGGAAGAGAGATAAGGGGATGAATCTAAAAAGCAGATTGTCTTGCTTCTAAAATATTAAATTATAGAAAATTTGTGACCCCAAGTGACATTTGGATCCAACCAACCAGAGATACAAATTTGTTTATTATAATTGGACTGCTACCTCAAATTATTCATTCAGTAGTCCACCGCTGCAGAGGACAACATAGTGTAAAGTTGACCATGCAAAAAACAATTTTGACATTTTTGAGCTTAATGACATCTCAAATTCTCTTCTCAATGAGACATTAAGGGCACATCTACATGAGACACTTAACTACTCAGTAGTGTAGTTTACTGCAAAGTCAGCATGTGCGTCTACATGTGCACATACTTACTATGCAGTAAACCTCACTGATCATAAGTAAATCTGCTATCTGCAAATGTCAGATAGTAATGGCACAGTTGCGCTCATGTAGACGACTGACCGGGAGAAAATCTGCTCCCAGTCAGCCATTCACCAGGGTGTGGGAGATTGCTCCCTGCCCCCAGGAGCTGCCTGCTGCTGGGGCAGGCTCTGTACCGGAACCCAGGTGGGGACTATGTCTGTCTGCCTTGGTAGCAGGGAGCTCCATGCCCCCCATTTTGAGATTGTGATCAAGGAGTGGGGGCTGGGCGATCCTTATCTTCCAGTGCCAGCCCTGTGGTCGCAGAGCTGGCACTGGGAATTAATGGTCTCCCGGTGCTAGCCTTGCAGTATGGAGCTGGCACTGGGAGCTCCCAACTGCTGGGGGCTGGGGAACCTGTTCCCCACCTGGCTCTGCTAGTGTGGAACTGGGCAGGGAAGAGGCTGGGGAGCTTGCTCTCTGCTCAGCTTCACAAGTGTACACGTGGGTGAGAAGCAAGGCAGCTTGTTCCCCACCCAGTTCCACACTTGTTGAGCTGAGCAGGGAACAGGCTTCCCAGCCTCCGCCCCAAGTGCGGGGTGGGGGTGGGGGCTGGGAGCTGTCCTAGTCAGGAGCAGGTCCCATACCCATGCCCTGATCAGGTGATCAAGGCATGGGGCTTGAAAAGAACTGCTGGGATTGGGTAGTAGGTCCCAGCCCCCTGCCCCGATCTGCCACTGGGGCAGCTAGCAGCAAGCTAGTTGCTAGCTGCCTCACCGGTGCACTGGGGCAGGAGGCTAGGACATGCCCCTCCCCTACGGCTCTTTCTAAGTCCCCTGCCCCTGATTGGGGGGACAGGGCCAGGAGCTCCCTGTTGCTGGGGTAGGGGGACATTTTCCCCACCCCAGCAGCAGGCAGCCCCCAGGGGCCCGGTGCTACCTGCTAACCCCTGGGCTAGCACCTAGGGGAGCCTAGACCTCCCCCTGGTGGGGGCAGAAGCCTATTTCAGGGCCTCGGGAAGTGGGAGTAATTTGCTGCCATTAGCAGCAAATCTGTTCCTACTTCCCTGCATATGTAGATGCCTGCCTGGGACTGTTTACTCCTGAGTAAACTGATCCCAGATCAAATGCATGTGTAGATGCAACCTAACAGTTCTGTTTCTAATTTCCAGAAGTAAATGTATCACTACTTAGAGAACTAAAACTATTATTACTCATAGAGCCACATTAACAATATTTTGTGGTTAACAGGTTGAGATGAAGCCTTGGTGAGTAGCCAAATTCCCTATCCTCAGTTGTTAGGAAGGCAGAAATTCAAGGCAAGCTGAAGACACCTAGGGAATACCCCCTTCGCACAGGTCTTGCCATAGAGGATGCACAGGTTGGGAGAGTTGTAGGGGCAGATTAGGGAAGACCCAGAAGAAGAATGGATGTGCATTGGGGCAGGAAGATATACTTGATATGGTATGCTTATTTCCCTAGTGATTTTACACATGAATTAGCGTACTGGGATCACTTCAACAAGGTGGAAGTTAGGGTAGCCTTGATGCCTGTTCCAGAAACCAAAACAACTGGCAACATCTTAATGTTAGTTGCCTCATCTTATTTTCTGTGTTGGCACCTATACCAGGAAATTAATTAATTTAACTCTAGGTGTCTGAAAATATGAAGCTTCCCTCCCTCCACTGACTGATGGAAGGTAGAAAGTTCCCTCTTCCACCCCATCCTCCTGACCATTGAAGGGATCCTCTTTGCTGTAGAAAGTGCAAGAGGATCTCTTTAAATCTGCCGCTTTGAAGGGATCCTCTTTGCTATAGAAAGTGCAAGGGGATCTCTTTAAATCTGCCCCTTCTCTCCAACCCTGACATGGAATTTTTCTTTCACTTTGTAATTCCACCAATATTCATGATTCTGCAATTTTTAAATATTTCTCTGCTGTTCTGCTACCATCCTGGATAGTATGTACATGGTTGTGTTTAGACTGAGGATCCCCAACTCTTTTGTATCAGGAGGGTTAAATGGAAATGATTCTGACCAATTTAACTGCTGTATACAGAATTCCGAATCAGTGAAACTGACTGCTGGTTAGCCATGGTTCATCTGAGTCTGGAAGGCCCACCAGGTTAGCATAGTTAAGGCACACCATCTTTTGCAGTCAGCAGCACAGAAGACAGTGATGTGACTAGCATCATGCCTGGCCACCTACCAGCATGTTTCCTCAGCGTAACTGATTGGGTACTGATTTACAGCTGGGTTGTTCCTTTGGCACAAGTCTAGACTGAGGCTTGAATTTACATCTGGAGTTGCATGGAGAAGCCTTAACCACTCTGCCTCTGAAACTGCCTGTAACTTTGTTACTTTCATCCTATTGCCAGTTGGGAAAGCTATGAGCAATGAAAGAAACCCTGAAGTCCCAAAGAACTAGAAACCTAATTATAATAACAATAAAACACCTTCTGCAGACATTGAGGTCTGAAATCCCATACATCAGGGAAAGTACTCTTATTGCCTGGAACAGGTAATAACTTTGAGTTAGGGTAAGAGCCTGCGGGGCCTGGACCTACCTTTCATCATCCTAATAACCTCTTTTAAGACCTTCTCATATCAGTAATAAGTTTAGTGGAAACAGATTTGTTTTAATTTGAAAATCACAGACTATCACTAAAATGCAAACAGTGAATGCAGCAATGTGGACAGTGTCAAATTTTGCCACTAAGAGTTACAGGTAAGTCACCGCCTTAAAGCAGTACGATTTTAATATGTCAAACACATGGGATCAGACTATAAGCAACAATACTCTAGTCTACTGAGAAAAAATACGGACACATGGGGAACAAACTTTAACATAATGCAATTACTGGGTAGAAGACTGAAATGTGGTGTAAGTAAAGAACTGTATGACTCAAGGGAATAAGAATATTAATTTAATTAAGATGGATGTAAAAACATATTAAATGGACTACACTGAAGTGACTGAAATACAAAATAAAACTCTTCCCATGTTTTCCAGGTTGATATTTAAGAATTTATTGATGGAGTCATATTCTGGCATCATGAAAATTTCCTGTGCAGGTTATTTCCTGTGCCCACAATGTTTTAGTACACTAGAGACATGTTCTGTGCATATGAAAAATAGCTTTTAAAGCCAGATGACTTATTTCCTTAGTCATAATTGCATAGTGATAGCAAAGCCTTAAAAAAGATTTTTTTTTTCTAAATTAAAAATAAAACCCTAGAAATTAACTATCAGAAGAACAGAAGCTGAACAAGTTAAAACTAGGAAACATAAAAATCCTATAAATTAATTAGAAACAAGAGGTTCTAAGCTCTGTCAACAGGTTTAAACACCAGAAACCAGTTAGGGTTTGGAGTCACACACTTTTTCAGGACTTTGTTCAGAGTGCCACACAGGATGAAATCTTTTGCCTGATAAAGACTTAAAGGATTGCCAAAGTTCTAAATTTTGTCGGAAGACAAGTCTGAAAATTATTTCACTTCTAATAATAATTCTTTCACTTTTCATCACACAATGCTGACGAGAAACAATGAGGTGTACTCTCATTAAATATACTTCATGATTTTTGTTTTGAAAATGTCCTTTTACAGTGACGTAGGTTGTAGCTGTGTTGGTCTAAGGACATAGGCAGACAAGGTTCCTTGGGTGAATTT